TAATAATTTGGTTGATTTGATTTCAATCTTAGTTTTTCTTAAATAAAACAAAACCTGTAAATGCTAACTTCCTCTGGAGTCTTTCCTAGTTTAGAAAAAAATAACTCGGAAAGTCCGTTCATGGCCCTATCAACAAATTTTAAAAAATAAAATTAAAACCTCAGCACATTAGAACAAATTATTTTAAATCATTCATGTGACAAATAATGTCATAACTTCTCTCTAATATCTGTAAACATTTGGTTGTTTTGAACAAAATATCTTCTGATGCTTTTTTTTTTTTTTTATTTTCCTAATGTTCACCAAATACAAGGCCCAAAAAGCCACTTGAAGTAAAGGGTTACTTTGTGGTGTTGTATGAGTAAAAGAAAAGCAAGAGTAAAGTTCATGGGGTTATGCAATAAAGATGATTGAAGTGGTCAAGATTATAGTGATGGGGAAGCATCCTGCGATTCCACAAAGCAGCAGTTCTTTGGAAGAAGCTGTCCCAGTGAAACTTCTTACTAAGGGAATTTAGATCATTCACCCTTGTGTACATGGCACAGCAGGTCCCAGTAAGAAAGATCAAGGTTGATGGGACCAAAAATTAGTAAATGTTACGCTTCTCCTTTAACTTTTCATGAATAAGAAAAACAAAATTTTTTCAAAACTTTATCAATAAGATGAAGGACAAAATGGAATCTGCTCCTGATTGGCTAAAAACATCAATAGTCAAAAGAAAAATGAAACAAATCCTTATTGGTCAGAATTCCTGCATAGAGTTGTATAAAAGGATCTCATTTGTGTAGGCACAAATATTACTTTTGGCTTGGCCTATGGGAGAGAAAGTTTAATATCATGAATGCCTGAAACTTTTTATGACTCTAGAATAGACATCACTGAGGAAGCATTCTGGTTTGCAATATCTGCATATAAAACAAATATTTATTTAAATGTTTTGATAATTTTTCAACTGAAAAATTTACCCTGAAAGCATGAATTATAGAAAAGTAGCATCTTTTTAAAAAAAAAATTTAAATTCAAGAAAACTAATGTTTTTAATGAGATTTTCATATATAAACCCATTATAATACAACTTTAAAATTATTTAAAACAAAAAAATAAACTATGATCACTTTTCAGATTCCATAACTGATTTCAGTCATGTGTGACAGTTGATAGGTTGTTTGGTCTTCATGGGTCAGTTAACAATATCCACCACTTCATAATTTTTCCTAACATTTTGCTGGTGATCTTTGAAAGCTTTTCATCTTGAAACTGGCTTTGAAAATGCATGCCACACAAGAACCTGTATTTGACCTGAATGAGTTTGAAAGAACTTTGTTCATTTCTTGTAATAGTAGAAAATTCTCTTTTTATTAGATATTTTATAAAACATTTTTTGCTTTTACTCACTAAAATAATTTTTTTTCTTCATCTGATGAAAATGTAAATTCTGATTGAAATTTAATATTGAAATGAATATTATTTTTTCTTAAAAATTAGTAAGCTTGTTCATTTTTGAAAGGTTTGCTAAAAGCCTGACAAAGCATTTTTTTAGGGTCTCACTAGCAGATTTGCTTAGCTTTATGCTAAATTTGATGCAGGCACTTTGCTTGAATTTATCAATATCACATAATGCTGTACTGCTTGGCATTCATGCCGAAAGCTCTAATACAAACATTTTAAAGTGTTTGGGTGTCAATCTGAGGATAGTGCAGAGGATTCGGAGAGAGTTGGATGATATATCCAGTCAATATCATGATGTTTTGAGTGATCATTAGTGATGGCAACATTATGCCCACATTCATCTTCCCACAGGGCCTCAGACTCTACATGGAGGCATACATCTTGAGAAGGTAGTGCTGCTGGAAGATCCTATGTCTGGCAACAGGACTCTGCACCATGCCACACAAACAGGAAAACCCAGTCATGGCTTTCAGACAATTTCTGTGACCTCATCATCCTCTACATATGGCCACAAAACTCCTTGTAGCACCAAAGATGGACTGAAGGCAAGGATTATGGCAGCATTCATCATTGTAAACAAGGAAACCACCCAGAAGAGATGCAGGAGGCTGTGGTTGAAGCCAATGGTGATTTTGTTGAACAAATTTATTCTTTAGTATTTCAAGATATTTTTGTGTAATTTTGGTAAATATATTTTAAAATGAGATGCCAGTGTTATTTTCATTTTTGCGTAATTTAGACGATAATTTATCCATTGTACTCTGTGTGTGTGTGTGTGTATATAAGTAAAAGGTTTGTCACATAGCTGATTGATGTTACCTCCTTCAGCATCCTGACTCCAGGGTTATAGAATAAGGGAAAGGTTGGAATTAAGTGACAGGCTTTGCTGGTTGTGTACAAAGCAATGATTTAAAACATTTGAAAGGCAGGTAAGGATAAAAATGTGTAAGAAATTATAATATATTAAAATGTTTGATGGACAATGTGAGTGGTTAGAATGTTTGCTTTCTAACTATGAGGCTCTGGTTTGAATCTCACCTGGGTCGATTTGTCAGGAAGGCGTTATTGTTATATAACTGCTATATTATTGGCCCTGACCTGGCATCTCCACTTCAGTCCCTTTCCAACTGCTGTCATGTAGTTTCTCTGTGCCTTATCTATAAATACTTTCATGGTAATCGTTCTGATGAATTTTTCACTATGATACCTAGACTTTGTGAATTTAATCATAGTACTAGAATGGCAGCAAGTTCTCATCATTTTACAGTTGAAATGGCTAGATGTTACCATAAATTCTATACTAACAGTTTCTTCTATTGCACTTCTTGCTTGTGGAACTCTTTTCCAGCTTTTTGCTTCCTCGTAAACTTTGATCTTCCAAAATTTAAATGCAATATCCATCATTATCATCTGTCTTAATTCTTGTTTTTTATTTTCCCCTCTCCTTGTTTTTTTTTTTCTTATATTCTCTAACATTCAGTAACCCCCTGCATTCTAATGGCTTTACTGCCTTGCTTGGAGTGCAAAAGACTTCTTGATGTTATTGGCCTGGAGAAACGATTCCAGTGTGCGGAATTTGTAAAGTTTTTTGTAAAGTGCCTGAAAAAAAAATACCACAGATTGACCCAAGCCATGTAAGTGAAATTGGGTAGATGGAATTGTTTGTTGATGATTGTGCTAGTGTGAAGTCCCTAGTCACCATGACTGAGGCTTTGAGTGTACTGGCCTTGTTCAACCTGTTGATCACACCAGATAATGCCCTCTCTCACAGAAAGGTTAGCTCAGTATAGTTTCAGTATAAACCTGATCTCTGCAGGTGTTGGACACAAATGTTGCCAGAGGAGGCATCTGCAACAGGAATTGGCTAGCCATCCTAGCAGACATGCATACTCTGATATGAGCAGCCATAATTATTATTATTATTATTATTATTATTGAGAGAGATAGAACAAGAGGGGCTGCAGCAGAAAATGCTTGTATGTTTTTTTTTTCTTCTGATGAAACTAATACGAGTTTATATAACTCTTGGATACAAATAATGAAAAGGCAACAAAGATTGGTAGGGATAACAGAGACAATAAGAAGATACAAGCAAAAAGGTGAGTGAAAAGCAGTCATAAGATAATGGATAATAGTTGTGAACACTGAAATTGTGACAGATTCCATTTATTATGGACTTTACAAAATTAAACAAAAATCTAATTCTTTATGATTTCTTTTCTATTAACTTTGAATAAATATTTATTAATGTACACATCAATAGAAATTTATTCAAAGTTATTCATCAATGTTTCACTGATTACAACTCTGACAAATAGTAGTAAATAATTATTCGTAATAACCAAGAAAATTTATACTGTAAAAGTCCTAAAATCTCAGTCACCCAAGAATTTGGAATTTTCGAAAATGGTCAAACTTTTTTTTTTTTTTTTTTTTTTTTTTTTAACATAACCTGAACATATGATGCATTGTAGTAATAAGCTACCATGCAGTTGTCATTTAGTTTTTTTTGTTTCTTTCTTTGTTAGTTTTTTAATGGCATATCAACTCATTATGGGTCATTTAATGCCGAAATTTAATTTTCTTAGGAGTGTTGGTTTTTTTTTTTTTTTTTTTTTTTAAATTATTAAAATCTATTGCTGGAAGCTTTTTTACACTATTAAAATCTATTGCTGAAAATTTTGTTTTTTTTGATATTCAAAATCTATTGCTGGTATTTTTACTGTAAAAATGTATTTTTATACTTTCATAGAGTTTTGACCTCAGTTTGTTGGTCCCCTAGTTGCCCATTGGTGGGATTCTATCAGGTGTTACCACTCCAGGTTAGGGTTCCATGCTGCTCAAAACCTCTTGATCAGAGGAGGCCTTGCTGCTGGATGTAGTTTATCATTATACCCAGGTCAAGTTGTCATTTTAAAGGAAATAATTAAAATATATAGCATTTCTTTCTACCTTTCTTGTAAATTATCTATCCATTTACAAATCTATAATAATGGCCTCTTAAGTTGATAAATGTAGTGTTATGGGAAGGAAAATCTATTGGTAAAGTTAAATTTTCTTTTTTTTTTTTTTTTTTTTTTTTTTTAAACAAATTTTCAAGAATCATGAATTTACAGTTGGTGAAAAGAAATTGCAAAGAATCTGTGGGTAGAGATCAAATCACAGCCTAGCCAGTTGTGCACACTTTCCTATTAATGCCATTCCCAGAGGCATTTCTTCTCTCACTGGCCATGTGTTAAATGTTGGAGTAGATTGAGTTCTCTAACCTTGCATTGGTAGTAAGTCTAGGAGAAAGACAATTTTGAACTAAAAAAAAAAAAAAAAACTATGGAGAAGGTAACTGGGGAAACTAATTCATTAACTTTCTCAAGGATACATGGCAATTCACAGATAACAAATAAAAGGAATCTGTAGAGAACTATGATTTTTCCATATACTGGGACATGGCATTAAACAAATGTATGTGTGTGTATATATATATATATATATATGTATATGTATATATATATATATATATATATATATATAATTTATATTTTTTTTTTTTTTTAATGGTTCCTCTCTCTGTTTCTCTCCCTCACTCCTGTCTCTCACCTTTCTTCACCCTTTCTCTTTCCTTTTCTTTCACTACAAGTATTGTAATATTTAAAACTGCTTGTTTGACAGACGAGACAATTTGTAAATGAATGAACTATCAGAATGTCTGTTTAGCATCTATCTCTACCTAAATTTAAATTTGACAATACTGCCTGAAAACCAGAAAAACATTAAAAACTGTACCAACCCAATACCTGAGCAAATGGGATTTTCAAACTTCTGTATATCTTCTCTCTTTTGGTTATATTTTCTTTTGCTTTTGGTCATATATAAGACCATATTGTAACAAACTGAAAAAGGTTTCCTTTTGTTTTTATAGGAAACACATAGTCAGTGTTTGGAACACAAACTGATTGTATCTGTTTGAAATATATTAACATATCTTTACTTGTAAAAAGTTCCATTTTTATTTCAAGTTCAGGAAAATAAAATCCTTTCCTGGTTATTTTGGTAATGCTTGTTAGAAAATGATAATCTTATTTATAATAATAATGGTGATGATGGTGGCTCTTTTCAGAGTGTACCTGTAAGCTAGGGTGGCTATCACTCTGTTACAGAGTGATAGCCATCCTAGCTTACTGTTATTGTTGCTCAGGTACATTTGTTTCTTCAACAACCACAGAGCTGACCTTAGTTAAAATTTCTGTGAGAGAGCACATAATCTGGTGTGATCAATAGTTGAACAAAGCTTGTATGCTGAAACCCTCAACCCTCATGACTTGTGACTTCATGCTAGCACAACCATCAATGACTTCTGAACAGTTTCGTCTCTACCATTTCACTCACAAAACTAGAGCTAACCAGTATGATTTTATGACGCTTTCTAATAGTGCTGAGATCATCTAATTATTAGTAAAAGCAAAACAAACAAATTTCTTTTCAAAACAAATGAATAAACCCCAGCAAAATAGAATATAAATTCATTATGACTAATATTATTGGATATTTTACATGGATTAGTGTAAATCTTCCTCTTTGATTCTTCTTTTTATCTATACTTGTAGTGATAAGAGCATTTTCCACAGACAAATGTATGATGTTCCAAAATGAATGCTTCCTATTTATTTCCATAGAAATTACAACAGATACAGGGAGCACAATAATATCATTGGATAGAGCAAAGTTTCAGTTAAAAAAAAACCATCCCCACCCCATATATAACTATTGTTTTTTATTTATTTATACTGGTATGTAGGACCACCCAGAAAATGGTTTATCACACGCATCACTGTTGTCACTAATGAAATGAATTATTAAATGATTTAACTGTGCTCACATCCATTATTTGGTTTTTGCAAATGTTCTGTAGCATTGCTGAAGGTCAATGGATGCAGTTTTTTTTTTTTCTCATGGATAAATTCAACAATAAACCTCATATGCACTTTCATGCCAGATGGCATTTTGCCAAACTTATTCATAATAAAACAAAAGAAAGTATGGATTATTCTGTCTCTAACATTGTGGGTCAAAACACTAAGAACTATTAGTTTGGAGTGATCCTTGTGTGTGTGTGTGTGTGTATATATATATATATATATATATATATATATATATACACAAAACATCTCCAAAGTAAAATTGTGAACTTTTATTTTTTTTATAGTAATTTAAGAATCATAAAAATATCTCTATTCTATTGGAAGCGTAGAGCATTGTTCAATATTGTTTCTTTTTACTATTTTGTCTATGAATAAGTTTTTATTTTGTAGAATTTTAAAAATAGTAATTATAATAAATGTTAAGAATTATTTTGGGTAAGTTTGAAAATAAATATTCATATTTTGAGGATATCATTTTATAAGTACCAAACAATTTGCTTTAAGGAATGCACTTTGTATTTAAGAGCAGAATGTTTTTATTTTTTGGATTAACATTTTTTTTTATTTTTTATTCAGTTGTTTATAAATAAAACTTACTAGTCAATTGTTTTAATCAACAATTTGAGTACAAATTAAAACTAACAAAACTGGTAATAAAAGAAAAATATTGATCGAAATGAAATAGGAAAAACTTATTTCATTTTTTTTTTTTTTTTTTTTTTCATACTGTGAGAACGTGTTTGCCTAGAAAGTAGGTCTCTTTATGCAGCAAATTTTAAATTACGTTTGTTTCTTTATGTATAATTTCTCAAATGGCCTCTGTTGAATGTTTATTTTAAGAAATCGTAATATCAATAAGAATCTTGTTCTTTAAACTGTTCAGCCCTTCTCTAAAATTCTTCAAATGAAGTCACAGATAAAATTTAAGTGTATATATATAAATTTTTATTTTTATCTTGAAATTTTGTTTTTGTCACCTTAACCTTCTGTTTAGCTAAGACTTAAATTTAGTGATAATTTAAAAAAAAAATTGCATAAACATTTTTTTTTCTTGTTATCCAAGACCAAAGTACAAGTGCTATATCATTTCTTTGTCAGCTGTCATTTAATATTTGGTTATGTCCAAACCACCCACCCTTCTTTTCAGCATGCCATAGGCCCCCCGAGTTCTAAAACCAGACTACGTTATCCTTTTAAACGATTTAGTGCAAAAATTTATATTATCTGGTCCGCTAGGTGGCTGATATACTTGTTGATTTCCCACCAAGTAGTCAATGTTCAAAGTAAAAGGTGAACATTACAAAGTAATGTTCACCTTTCAAAGTTGGCTGGCTTGATTTCTAAGATGCCTAATAGAAGCTAAGAAGAAGGTGGTGTTATTTTACTTTTGAAGAAATTTTCCGACATCCTACTCCCATTCAAACTTAAAACCACTTCATTTATTAATTTTACACTTTCTGAGTTTCTGAATGTTTTTCTGACCCCACTTTTATTACCTGCGCCATTTATTGCATAGTAAGAAAAGTTCAATTCTGAACCCCCCCACCCTAGTTATTAACACCCTACTCATTGTATGAGATACGTAAAAGTAAAAACCTGGCATAACTTTCCTATCCTTGTCTTATTAGATAAAGCTAAGCTTAGTCAATATCTATACATACTTTTTTGCACAATAATTTTATTTTGTAAGCCATTGCTAGTGAATTCAATGTTCATTTGGTGTCTTATTATGGCTTTGTACCAGACAAAACCAAGCTTTGTAAATGTCTAAACAATCCTTTAACTTCATCTGTTGTGATTTAATGTGCCATGTCCCCTCAGCAGGTAGATGGTCATGGCTTTTCGCAATTCCCTGTCCCTTGTAACTCTTAATAAATTTTGTCTTTTTGTTATTTCTTCCAAACCCTGTTCCATTTACTGAAGCTCACGAAGGTGATGTGTTGTTTTCCTCTGTCCCTCTTGCCTTCAATCTGTCCTGTGAGTAGCATATTTTCCAAGCAATCTTTCCTCATTGTGTCCTAGAAAACTCGGCTGTTTCTTCTTGATAAGTATAAGTTTAACAACATTTAATCAAAAAGGAATGTTGTTAGAAATTTAGCAATGCTATCTACCGTTTCTTTTTTTTTTTTTTTTTTTTTTAGGTGGGTCTGTATAAAAACGTCTCCCAAAATCTAATACAAAAATATTAAAAGCTCAGTTATCAATAATCTCTTATAAATATAGCACCATAATTCTTAGAATACCGTAAATTTTCTATTTTTGCATTTTTTTTTCTACTGCATTGTTTTTGTTTCCAAATGCAAGGAAAAAATATTAAGTTAAAATGAAATTTTAGTTCTCTATTTTATTTTTAAAAAGATATTTATTGCTTATTCAATGAAAACTTTAACTTCATCATTTTTATATATACAGTCAATGATGAAATTATTTGTATGCCCAACAATTTTGAATATTTTTATCAATTTCTCAGAATCTAATGCCTGTATGATGCCAGGTTTTTATATGTTAATAAGCACAAAAAAAAAAAAAAAAAAAAATATAAAACTCAATTTTCAGAACAATAGGTTAAATACAACAAATTTGATAGGAAAATTATACAAAATAGGAAAAAAACAATTATTTGTGCAGTATGAAAAATAGAAAAATGGAACAATTTTCACAATATTAATAATCAATAGCATAGCCTTTCGTTTTCTAAAGTTTTTTTTATGAGATTTGAACACTTCTTTTCTGAAATTTTCTTCTGTTCTTCAATGGTTATATGTTCTAATTCCTGAAGGTTTTTTGGTGAGTGACGATTTATTCAAACTTTCAATTCTTGGTATAGATTTTCAATATGATTCACGTCAGGATTTATTGAAGGCCATGGCAGAACTGTAATCTTTTTCTGAAGTCACGCAGTCACTGATTTAGATGTATGTTTGGGATCCTTATCTTGCTGGAAAGTTAAATCACTGACCTAGATGAAGATTTTGCACTGATAGATGGGTGTACGAATAATTTTGTTGTTGACTAACACACACACACACACACATATATATCTTATTATAAAATGCAGATTGTGTGTGTGTGTGTCTGTAACGTTTATATATTGGATCGAATTTCCTACATTTTTTAGCCGATTTCAACAAAACTTCACAGGACTACATAAAATTACCTTGTGATGGTTCTAACGGCACCGAAAATGGGAAAACAAAATTGTTTTTTAAGAAAATCAATTTGAAAACACGATTAAGACACATCATGAGAATGAAAGGGGGACAACTCACCCACGAAAATGTAAACAAAAGAGCATAGCATGATGAAAAAAAAGCCGAACTTGACGAAAACAAAATTTTATCGTCTAATGTTCATATTATTATTATTATTAAGAGGAAAGATCAAAGTATCAAAGTATATTTTTTACATTTTTTAATCGTTCTAGCACGTCTGAAATTTTCGTTAAAAATATTTTTTTTTTTTTTTTTTTTTTGGTCAAAAAAAGGACGATAATCATTTTCAATCATTTTTTCGATTTGATAAAAAAGATTAAAAAAACTTTGATATTTTTTTTTTCATTTTTTTTCAAAACTGATTTTAATAAAAACAGAAAAACTGTTTATTTAAAATATTTTGAACCAAACTTAACTTAGCTTCTGCGCGAAAAAATGTAATTTGAAAATAAAACAAACCTTTCACGTTGCTTGATGATTGACGAAAGGCACATTCATGACTTTTAGATAACTTACGGGAGGATAATTCTTTCTACGGATGGAAGGAAGTGAAATTATTTAAGTGAACAAATTATTTACCTCGTTACTTTTAAGGAAAACTTTCAGCGCTCTAATTTTTTTAAAATTTTTTTTTTGTACTTAGCTTTCGTTTTTACGTTTACGATGCTTTATGGAAAATATAAAGAAATTAAAAAATAAGACTGTTAATAGTGAGATTAAATTTCATAAGAAAAAGGTATCTAATTAATTTAGGTACATTTTCTTATGAAATTCTATCAGAAATGTACATAAAATACTATAATTTTATGTACATTTATTACATTTTACTGTGTTATTTGTATTTCCATTCATTTTATTATTAATTTTGATATTTCATTTATGGAAAAATGTCATTAACTGAGATTAATATAAAATAAGATCATATAAATTAAAGTTTAGCAGTAGTTCAATTTCATAAGATGATACTGTTACTTGTAGGTACCCTTCTCAGTTGAAATTGAAAACTCAAATTAACTTCTCCATACGTGTTTTGCAAAAGTAAAGGGCTTAACAGCGGAGAACAATGCTGAACTCAAATAATGCAACTAAATTGTATTCTGGTTGGTCTTCCGTACTTGATAATTACTGTCCGACTATAAACACAAAAATCATATTTCTTAATTACCATGGCTAATCTGATTGGTCCAAATTATACAATTTTCAAAGCGCTTAGACAATGACAATCTCACACGGACATTTTGAAAGGTTAATGTTGCTTTTTTAACTAATGTTAAAATATTTTTAAAAATTCAATTTAAAATTTTTAAATCTTTTAAAATTAAATAAATAAGAAATAATTGTATTAAAATTCAATTTTCATTGAAAAAATTTTTGCTTTCAGAAAATATTGTCCATATTCATAAAAAACAAATTAAAACAAATAAAAGCATTTGAAACTAAATAATATATTTGTTTTATTGAGTTTTTGTATGTTAGAATTCACAGCTGATTTTCAGGCAT